GGCTGGCAGGGGGAAAAAAAATTTACATTCTTGTACATTGCCAAATGTTTAGATGGCCCACAGGTTGTTTATCTAACAGCTTGACATTTGGCCAGACTGAAGATAATGAGTTTTAGTGAGGTTGCTTCTATACCTGGCAACTGCTCTACAAATCAAGACATAGAAGCTTGTGAAAAACTCGGTGCTTCCTAAGCAGCAACCCCTCCCAACTCAGAATGACTTTAAATATTCATCATCTGGATAAATCAAACTCACGTTTGATCTTTCTTCCTTCCCTTATGTGTTATTTTCCATCACATCACAGAGGAATTTTGCTCAGGGTTTACAAGGTCATATGAACTGTGGCCTACCTAAGAGCCGCCATAAAAATTGATTGTAGCCTAGAAATCGACTGCTTGTGGAGCCTTCTATTAATCCTGTTCTATTTATGTAGTGTCCACATTTGTCTTGGGTTTTCTTACGATTTTGCTCCAACTCAAAATTTCTCTGAAGATGTCGAGAATTCTAGTCTCTGCTGTGTTTGTAATCCATATGAAGAAAAGCCAAGAACAAAGGAAGTAAAACATCTGGGACACTGGAGATACTCAACTGCAGCCCAAGAGTAATTCCACAGCACTTGCATTCTGTTCAAACAGAGCCAGTTAATAAATTATGCCAGTACATGAGGCGCTCAGAGTGGCACAACTGCTCAGAGTGACTGTCAACCTTTGGTGGAGTATGTTTTAATATAAAAACTTAATAGATGTAATTTAGTAGCAATTTTCTTTGGCAGTAAATTGGACTCTTAATCATACTCTGAGAACATAGAAGAAAAATGACTAATAATTCAGCACAAAATGAACACCTGTGGTTACCTAAGAGGTACGAACGTGCATTTAGCAGTTTCTTCTTTTTCTAGCTGAATACACAAGATGAATGGTGGCTGTGGTGAGGCTTTCTCCCTGCTGCTACTTAAGATTTGCTGCTCAGAAAAAGAAATGAGTGGCACTTCACCAATATGGAAATGTTTCTAATAGAATATAAAAATCTGTTAAGCAATTTTCCAGTACATTAGACTGAAATTGCTTAAGATGGGTATACATTTCTGTGGCAATCGAACATTACATAAATTGCAGTCTTATAATGCCCCTATGTGGAAAGTGCTAGTACAATTTGGCCTCATATTTTAGTCAGTACTTTTGTACTCACTTCCACTTGTGAACTTGTACAAAGCCACTTCACAATTACCTGGGAGAGGACTTCCTGATTTGAGGGTCACCCATGCTTTCATTAGAAGAGTCATTCTTTCTGGCAACTTGTACAGAGCTCAAAATGAAAAAGCCAACCAGCTAGTTTTTGTTAGTCAACTTTAACAGAGCATGAGAGGTCTGAGAATCTTGGCTCTGAGTAAAAATAACAAGTCATTGTGTACAGAGAAGTATCCCTAACTTCTTGCCTGCTTCTCTATTCCAACTTTTTATTGGTTTACAAAGATCATTGGTTTACAAAGAAGACCACGACATCTACTGAACATACACACACACACACAAAAGGAAATGCTCATATTGAGAAGCTACTTTAAGTTAGAGTATTAATCAGCTATCTGCCAGATCTGACATACATCCCTCCCCACAATACTTGACTTGCACATGATTTTTCATTTTTAGAATAACTCTTTCAGTAATTCTGCTCTGAAGACAAATAATCACTGAATGTCAGCTTAGAAAAAGTGTAGGCAATAGGTATGGGTAGAAGCCATCAAGTAACAGCAAAGAGGAAAACACTACAACTGTAGCAAGGGAATAAGATGTAGAACATTCTGAATATAAACAGAATTATATAGAATAGTGGTTCCAAATACTTTACTGCCACATAACAAGATATCATTATGGAAACTGAAGGTGTCCCAGTATGGGAACATTTTAAGACCCACAGGGTGATGGAAAAAATGCCCTGGAGCCAGGCAGGGCTGTTTGAATCCCAGCTCTACTGCATATTACCTGTACAACCTTGGGCAAGTCACACCACATCAGTCTGTTTCCTTGCCTATAAAATGGAACATTAACTTCATAAAACTGTTTAAAGGATTAGAATTAATGTAGAAAATTGGCTCATCATTGAAAGAATGGTAGCTTATAGTATTAATGATTACATCACACTCTACTTATGAACCCATGCTTCAGGACTGCTGCTAAGTCCCAGAGAATGAGTTCTGCAGGAGTATACAGTCTTAGCTTTAAGTCTCTATATTGTGAGTCAAGTTTCCCATTTTGTTTTTCAATGTCACATCAAATTTTAGGCATGTATAGTGTTTCACCTATAAATACACCTTCTTCAGGTGGATCTAAACCTACACATGCTGCCCATTTTGAAACTCATGATAATGGCATCCTTGCTTCTCACTCTGATTTTGGTATTTTCATCTCACCAACAAACTACAGTATGGTACAGTATTAAAGTTTAAAATACTCACTTTATTTATACACATCACTGCCCTCTAGTGACTAGAATAATTCTTTCTAGTAATCCAACTGATCCCCTTGACGTAAAAAAATAAATAAAAAATCTAGTTACTCATCCACCAGCAGGAAGAAAAAATCTTTTTCCAGGAAATGTTGGTTGATGCAACCAATTAAACCTAATCTTACCTTCCTGATCAAAGCATCTAGCTGTGGTCTGAGCCACCATCTAAAGCTACAGAGCACAGGTGGACCACCTGTATGTTCTACTATAGATTCTTAAGTGTTGGCTATGTTGGGCATGACCAGTTAGTAATAACACATTAGGCACATTTCCTCTCTAATACCCCTTAACTCTTAAGAACGTGACCTCCACAGTGTTCCTTAAATTTTTTACCTTATAATTTTTTAAATAAAAGCATATATTATTTATATAAGGGGGGGGACCCCACAGTATTTTCAAGGGAGAGATAAAAAAATCTGGATTACTAAAACGGGAGCTTTGCATTCAAGATCTATCCCAAGTTTAGAATACCAATAGAGATCGGCTGACATCCTGAAAAGACTTGTCTGTTCTCTAACTTTTGGCCAGTTAGCACCAAACTCAGGAAAACCTCTAACCTTATTCACAGAGAATGGGCAATAGTAGTAGCTACTGTTTATAAGCTAGACCTTGTGCTTAACTACCTGCATCTGTCACCTCCAACAATCCCGTGTGGTAGGTGTTTTTATCCGTTTTATACGTGAGACCAAGAGAACTTATATAACTGAGTCCAAATCTGCACGTAAGCCCTCCTCCGATAACAGAAAAACCATCTGAAGGGCAAGTGACACTGAACATTGAACAAATTACCATCTTGGTGTAAACAGTAACAAATTACAGTAAACTCTGACCCAGAAACTGCTGAAGAACAGAATCTAAGAATATTTACCAGCAAAAGATAGGTGTTCAAAGATGACCTACCTTCTTCAGCAACTAAACGCTATAGCTAGTTATAAATTCAGTGAGAAACTTATTCTCCACAGATATAGGTAGGTTTCTCTTATCCAAATGTAAATCTAATCAGGTTTGAAATCCTAAAAGTAGAACATTAAGCTAAATGATAACTCTCCCAATATTTTTTCAGTTTTTTTTTTTTTTTAATGGCACCTCATGGGAGCCTGGACACAATGTCCAACCTTAGAATCACCTATGATTTTCTTCTTTTTTAATTAATTAATTAATTAATTTAGTTATGGCTGCGTTGGGTATTCGTTGCTGCACGCGGGCTTTCTCTAGTTGCGGAGAGCAGGGGCTACTCTTCCTTGTGGTGTGCACGCTTCTCACTGTGGTGGCATCCCTTGCTGCGGAGCACGGGCTCTAGGTGTGGGCTTCAGTAGTTGTGGCACGCGGGCTCAGTAGTTGTGGCTCACAGGCTCTACAGCGCAGGCTGTTGTGGCGCACAGATTTACTTGCTCCACGGCATGTGGGATCTTCCTGAACCAGGGCTCGAACCCGTGAACGCTGCACTGGCAGGCGGATTCTTAACCACTGTGCCACCAAGGAAGCCCACCTCTGATTTCGTCTAGTCACTTTTTCTTTGTTTTTTTTGGGCTGTGGCACACAGCTTGCGGGATCTTAGTTCCCCAACCAGAGACTGAACTCGCACCCATGGCAGTGAAAGCCCAGAGTCATAACCACTGGACCATCAGGGAATTCCCTATATTTTTCAGTTTTAAAAACCTAGACAGATGATAAATATACTTAAGCCTGTGTGCTGCATAAGGCCAAAGCATAAGTGGACAATGGAACAGCCCTCTATCAGCTCCCCTCCACCAATGTGGGTTTATGGGTCCATCAGCCCCTCCTTGGTGAAGAACTGCAATCCCTGTTTTCCTCAGAGGCTGTTCAATAATAGTAACACTGATGTCTGAACTTACATCTTTAAAGACATATTTCAGGATGTGGGAGCTTCTGGGACCATAACTTTAACCCAGCCTTCCATAACAGTCTTTTTACTTTCTAGCACAAAACATGACACTGCAATAATAGCAAGGAACCGCTTCAGCTTTTTCACTTCTGCAGAAGCTAAAACAACTTCCCCAACATATAAAGGTGCTGGAAAGTTAATTTCCTGGGAAAGAAATACACAGCCTGGCCCTGGCATTTTAGTACCCAGGAGAGCTGAAATAAGTCCATTGATCAAAACTCCATGTACAATCGTCTTTCCAAATCTGGTGTGTTTTGCAAAATCTTCATCCAAATGCAAAGGATTGACATCCCCTGTTAATTCTGAGAAGATAGCCACATCCCTCTGTGTGAAGGCCCTACTGAGTTCAGCCCGGTCTCCAACTCTGATGTGCACATGCTGTAAGTGCTGCTTGTTTAGCACTGCTTGGTTCAGGCAGATACTCCTCTGAAGCCTACCCCACCAAAGGCGATGGCTAGAAAATACTGGGAGCATCTTCAGAGGTCTCAAATTCCATCAATAGGAGCTTTTAGGCTGTTTCAGTCTTCATACATTATGCTGGCACCAAAATGTACTTTTGAGAGCGAGGAATACTTCTGAAATTGAAGACTATTCAATTCAATACTAGTTCTCTACTGTTACCAGATAATGCAAGGAGAAATGGAGAGACCTATAAGAGAAAGAAAAAGTTTAAGGCAGTATCAGGAGAAAACTGCACTGCAACACAGTACAATGTAGAAACATGCCCTATTCTATAGGATAAGACAAACTGAGGTAGTAGCATTTTAAAGAGCATCCTGAGAGCTAGCCTTAGATAAATAAGCGGTCATGAACAACTCAGAAAGAGCATTCCAATACATTAGGCGCTAGGCATTAAGCAACAAAAGTTAAGACTTTTCCACAAGTGTTCCAAGTTTTATCCCCAAACCTCCCCCATAAAATTTAAAACCTAAGTGCTTTGTCTCACATTTTTGTAATTAATGAAGCCCTGAATTTTCCCCTCGCAGCTGGATGATGTTAACCACACTAGATTTATGCAAGCGCAAAAATGAGACACATATTAATTAGTTTGGTCTACTACTCAGCCTCATTTGGAATATGTGAAGGAATGGTCTTTACCTGAATCACTCTGAAAGCACATTTCTTGCCTTTATAGGATCCTAACAGGGTCAAAGAGCTCCACAATTTGACAAGACCACTACAGAAAGATCGAGAAAGCGTTAAGTAAAGATTTGTCCCTGCAACATCTCCCTAGTACTTTTGTTTGTGATGGTCCAGAAAGCAGTTTCTACCAGAAAACCTATTTAAAATAAGAAAACTTTAAAAATAAAAGCACAGGGCTTCCCTGGTGGCGCAGTGGTTGAGAGTCCACCTGCTGATGCAGGGGACACGGGTTCGTGCCCCGGTCCGGGAAGATCCCACATGCCGCGGAGCGGCTGGGCCCGTGAGCCATGGCTGCTGAGCCTGTGCGTCCGGAGCCTGTGCGTCCGGAGCCTGTGCTCCGCAACGGGAGAGGCCAAGACAGTGAGAGGCCCACGTACCGCAAAAATAAATAAAAATAAAATAAAAAATAAAAGCACAGTATGTCAAAGGCAAAGAAAAAAATGAACCTCAATCAGGAATGTTTCTAAAATATACACTTCTGAGTTTGCAACCCTGACTATCAATTGGGAAACACTACAGTTGTAAGCAAATCACAAGTTTGGCTCTCTAGGGTGTAAGTTCCTGGTGGATGAATGTTCATATTCTCCCCAATTTAAACTTCCAAAAGCTGGTCGGAGTTCACAATGACAAAATTCTTCTCATTCTCAGAAGAGAGCACCTTTGCTCTTTGTTTGCCATCTGTCTCTCTGCTCTGTTAAACTAGAAGTGTTCCACTGTCTGTCGTACCTGCTGCATATTCTCAAGATGGCCGACAAGGTCTTCTCTTCGTAGGTTAGAATGTCCAAGGGTAAAGCAGCATCAACCTAAGTATGGGATAATGCTGTCAGCAGACTATCATCATCATTACTCTTGAACTCTAATAACTAATTCTGTCAACTGCTTTTCTTCTCCAAAAACTCAGTATTTTATTTAATGGACTGGAGTACTGGGCCTGCTTTTTTATAGCTTCCCCCTGCCTGGAGCATTCTTCCTGTACCTCTTCATATTGCTGAGGCCTCTTCACCTTTCTCAAGTCTTCGTTTAAATTGCTCCTTCCTTGATTCCCAAGA